ATCTGGACTTTGAGAGGTCCAGAGAGTCCCAATCATCCAGCTTTATGCAGTCCCATTGGAGTTTTGAGTCTAGGTTGTCATTTTAAGGGCTATTTCTTCAAATAGAGCTTGATGTGTGGTGCATGGACATAAAGATTGAACCTTTACATGACTTTTGGGTGCTAGAAGGCCAGATCTATAAGTTAGAGAAACAGATCTGACCTCAGAAGGTCAATCGTGTGCGGCCATGGAGGAAACTCGACGAGTCGGATCGGGTTGCCCCGCGATTCGTGTTCAGTGGTAACCTGACGAGTGAAAGGTTAACTCGACGAGTCGAGTGAGGCCTTAGGAGGATTGTGAGGACAAGCATGGACTCGCCGAGTCACCTGAGTGCACTCGGCGAGTCTGGTCAAAGTTAGACCGTTGACTGGAGTTGACTTCAGTTGACCTTAGGGTTGGTCAAACTGATTCAAGAGGGGCTATGGAGGGGTAGAATGGTCTTCTACCCATTCTTTAGAGATGAGGATATAAGGTGAGTATTGATTAGAGATATTATCATTTTGATAGGCGGAGGCTAGATCGGGGATATCAAGCACGAGAGTTTACTAGACATCATACGAGGTGAGTCTTCTCACTATACATTACCTATAGTGGTATCTATGTGCAGACTGGAGGGTCTTATGTGTTATGTGTATGTTTGATAATACGTGCATTGTGATATATGTATGCTATGTGTTATATAGACCGGACCGGAGGGTCCAACGACTTACGAGGCCAGAGGGTCCTTGAGTAGACCGGACCCGAGGGTCCAACGATTTAGACCGGACCGGAGGGTCCAACGAGCTACACCGGACTGGAGGGTCCAACGAGCTATGGGAGTGGAGGGTCCCGCTGAGACACATTGACCGGAGGGTCATACCGAGTTATAGCCTCGAGTGGCTATGTGTTATATGTGGTATTTTGGGGAACTCACTAAGCTTTGTGCTTACCGTGTTATGTGCTATGTGTTTCAGGTTTCTCAAGATCGCGGGACGACACCGTCTTGATTGCACACATCAGAGAAAGAGTTATGTTTTGAGGATCCTGGATTATTAATGGAGTTGTGTTTTGTAATTTTAATAAACGATATTTTTATACAAAATGTTATGAAAAGTATGCGTTTTTAAAATGAAAAATTCGTTTGAAAATTTTACGGTGTTACAAATGAAGTCACATGCCTCTGGACGTTTCCGCCGTCTGGTCCGGGGGTGTGACAGTGGGTATGGAACCAGTTGGAACCATAAATTGATAATTGGAACAGAATTCGTGCATTAGACCCGGAAATAATCGAAAACGCGGAAATGGAATTGGAAACCTGAAATTTTGCAACAAAAGAAAAAATATATATGTTGTAACCCCGAATACTGGTTAATAACAAGAAAGGATACCATTTCTCAACATGTTACACAATTTTCACTCACGGGGGTTACAACAACTCGTGCAAAAGAACGATCTATCAAAAAAATGTTATAAAAAAGATTTGATATATCATTTTTGGAGGTTGTAAGTGACTCAATACATATCTAAATAAGGTGTTTTTGGAGTCTATAACAATTGTCAAATAGTGAACTACAATTTAAAAAAAAAATTAGCCCGAACAGATTTATAAAGAAACAGATATGACAGTTTAAAGCTAACTAAAAATTCAGCAACAATGTTGTAACAGAAACAAAAGATAACTAATATATCATTTTTGGAGGGATGTAAGTGACTTAATACATATGCAAATAAGGTGTTTCTGGAGTCTATAACTATTGTAGAATAGTGAAATACAATTTAAAAAAAATCAGTCCGAACGGACTTATCACAAAGCAGATATGACAGTTTAAAGCTAACTAAAAATTTAGCAACAATGTTGTAACAGAAACAAAACAAAATTGATATTGTTATGAAATATTAGTTTATGAATGACCATTGGATTCCCCATTTCTCCCATAACTCTCTAACATTATTTACAATTAGTAACAACCATTTCAATGTGTTTTATGAGTGTAATAATGCACCATCATAATGTGCATTCATCTTTCATCTTATTTTGGTTGTATAAATAGTGAGCCATATGTATTAGAAAGTTGATGATTTCATCATAAGTATTGGAATAAAAGTTCTCTTTATTCTCATGTCTTTCTTTATCTATAATTTATCTTGTTATTAGCTTCATATTTTATAACACGTTATCAGCACGACTCTACCATAGAGCTCTAACTCATTATTCTTGTCATTTTCAGGTATGTATTTTTTATAAGTTCACATGTACAATGCTTACAACTTATTTTATGGAATTTCTTAACTAACAATTCCTTAACATACAAGTCTTTGTTTTGATTACTATTTTCATTATGGAAGACCATGCTAGAGAAAACTTTCTCTACTTTTCATACTACTAACATGCTCCTGCAGTAGCAATATCTTGAGAAAGGTTTAAAATAAATATGAATTAATCTCATGTCTTCTTGTGGCTAAACAAAACAATGAGTTATTGATGTAAAATCATCAATCAATCTCGACCGGTTCTAGTGCATTCCCTGAAGTGAATGCAACATCATATAATCATAATAGTTTTGGGTATAACCGAGGTCATGGAGGTTATCATAATTATCATAAAAATAAAAAGATTACAAGTAACCACTAGAAGTTAGAAAATAACAAAAACCCACATCCTAGATAAAAGTGGTCAGGGAAAAAAGAAAGTTGAAAATATTTGTCACCGATATGGAGTGACCAATCATTGGTCTTGTACATGCCACTCTCCAAAGCATTTTGTTAATCTTTATCAAGCTTCTCTAAAATCTAAAGAAAAATAAAATATCGAAACAAATTTATTCAAAATGATTTTCACGAAAATCAACAAAAAATGGCACATTTGGATGTTGCGAATTATCTTGTCTACCCAGAAGGGATAAGTGGTGCTATGGATGGTGATGGAAAAATAATATATAATAGTTTTGTTTCATGTCATTTATCATGTTTTTATATCATATTCGTTTCATGAGAAATGATGTCATCCCAATCTTCTCAAAGTAATAAAATATGACTTTATTTCTCTAAGTCGAATGTTTCTTATGTTTTATTTATTTATTGAAGAGAAATATGGATATTTGCAAAAGAAATGAGAAAGATATATGTCTTGCAGACAGTGCAAGGACACACAACATTTTTAATAATGAAAAAAAATACTTTGCTTATTTATCAATTGGAGAAGCAAATGTTAATACAATAATAGGTAATGCAAAAATGATTGAAGGCTCCGGAAGAGCGAATATAATATTACCATAAGGGACAATAATTACAACTGGTGATGCATTATTTTCGTCAAAATCACCAAAAAATTTATTAAGTTTTAAGGATATTCGGTCCAATGGATATCATGTTGAAACAACTAATGATGGTGATAAAGATTATCTCAATATTACAAAAATGATATCGGGTAAGAAAAATCTTTTGGAAAAATTACTTGCATTGTCCTCCGGATTGTATTATGCAAATATTAGAATGATTGAATCTCATTTTGAGAACCAAATACACATGCAAATAAGGTGTTTATGGAGTTTATAACTATTGCCAAATAATGAACTATAATTTTTTTTTTTAAATCAGCTCGAACGAACTTATAACGAAGCAGATATGACAGTTTAAAGCTAACTAAAAACTCAACAACAATGCGGAAAATAAAAATAAAAGATATCATGGAATAGAATAGAATAAAAAACTTTTGAGAACCAAATCCATAGGCATATTTTTTATAACCCTTCAATTTCCGGTGGCCCACTAAACCGGTTTCGGTCCATTAAACTCGGTTCTGGTTTGTAACATCCCGAAAATTACAAAGAGATTTTTCATTTAAAAAAAAGAATAACCATATAAAAATTTACTTCAAAAACCTTTAGTAACATTTGATTGATTAAAACCATACATTATCAGAGTTAAATTTACAAAATTGCGGAAACGAACATCTTCAATGCGTGTGTACAGTCATGCCAAGCTCTTCTCACGAACGACCAGCAAAATGTTTAATCCGCAACTGTAAGCATAAAGCTTAGTGAGTCCCCTAGTATACCACATATCCCATAATACATACAATGCATCCACACAAGAGTTCGACTCTAGCGTCGAACAACCAAATCTCCTATCCACATAAAGATACGTAACAAACATACATGAAATATCGGGTCTGCTCCAACCCCGGCTGAATGCTATGGGCCAAATCATAGTCTTACATCTTGCCATGGGAAAAATCATGGTCTCTCCTTGCAATGTTGAGGGCCAAATCCCAGTATTACATACGACTGCCAGGGGTTAGATCATGGTCTTCCATACAACAGCCAGAGGCCATATCCTAGTCTTTCATATAATTATCGGGGGCCAGATCCTGGTCTTTCATATAATTGTCATGGGCCAGATCCTGGTCTTTCATATCTCAAAATTTATATTATTTTGTTAATTAATTTGTTTCATCTAAAATGTATAATGATGTCTATCGACATTTTTTTAATTGATTTGTTTTATTTAAAATTTGTAACAGTCTCCATTTATAACTAATTATTGTTGCATTAGTTTTGGACGAGCCTAAAATAAAGCATTATTAAACATTTAAAAGGAATTGATTAATGATGTAACTTTCCTCGACATGTGTTCAAAATTCAATGATACAATTACAATGATTAAGTCGGTTAATAGTTGTTTACGTAAACGTTTGTTTTAGTTTTTTAATTAAGTTTACATTAATCACTCTTGTTTTTTTAAGATTGAAAACTTCTCTTTTTGTACTAAGGGGGTTGTTTTTCAAGCGTTTTTACTTGCAAATTTTTCATTTTGCCCTTTAAAGAAAAGTTTAAAGATACATTGATGTTTGGAATTCAATTACGAATACCATGTCAAAGAAAAAACAACACATGAAGAAACAATTACACGTTAATTGCCAAAAAATTAAACCTAATAATTTTATCTTATGTTGAAAAAGAAAGAAAAAAAAAGTCTGCTGACTAACAGTCAACTTCCACTCTATTTGGAAGTGATTCAGGATCAACCACATAATTGTGATTCTGCAACAAATGTATTCCCCCCATTAAGTTAATAATATTTATTAATAACAATAATGATACTAATATATAATACCTGGGCACTAATCTTAACACTTCCATTTCTGAGGTTACGAACATGATGATTTCCTCCATGATGACCAAATTTCATTTTATATGTCTTCCCACCCAGGGCCTGACCAAGCAACTGATGTCCCATGCAAATTCCAAAAACAGGAACATTTCCAATAATAGCCTTCACTGTCTCAACAGCATAAGGTACAACAGAAGGGTCACCTGGTCCATTGCTGAAAAGTACCCCATCTGGTTTCATTTTAAGAGTCTCAGATGCTGGCCATGTTGAAGGAACAACCGTGATTTTACACCCATAGGATGCCAATCGCCTCAATATATTGTGCTTGATTCCAAAATCATATGCCACCACCTTCATTTAAACAGGAATTTAATAAATAAGTTAAAACTATTAAGAAGAAATGAAAGTAGGATGCTATAATCAACAATTCAGAACATGTACATCGACACTTGGTTGCGTTTATAAAAGAAACTCACATGAAAAGTCTCGCCATGCCTTTTGTTGGAGTTAAAATCTCATTCCATATCGGTCTTACCAACCCATTCATAAGGCTTCTTACAAGAGACGATAGAAATTAAATCCACACCTGCAGAAAATGTCAAAGAAATGGAATGCAATTCAGTGAAAAAACTGAATCGTATTTAAACATATATAATGAGGACATTTTGGTCTTTTTAAGATTCCCATATCATATAGAGTAGACAAGGCCATTACCAACGATATCCCATGTGCGTGACATCTCCAGAAGTTCTTTTTAGCTATGTGGATACACAAAACAATGAAAACAGATAGAAGAAATAAAGCAGAATTATATATGCAGATCAAAGTAATTTTTAGCTACATTCAAAGTTATAATCAGCAGTTCATTTTTATCCCACATAAATAGGGGTGTTCGTTTGGATGGATCGGTTTGATCCGATCCAATCAAGTGAATCCAAATTGATTTCGGTTTTCAAAACATGGATCCGAATAGTCCAAACTAAATTCAAATCCGATCTGATCCGATCCAATTACAATTCGGTTGGATCGGTTTTTATAATTCAGTTTTCAAAAACCGAGACATTTTAAAAGGACATATAATTATAATATTACCAAACTTCACACAAGAAGCAAAAACAAATTATTTAGTTGTGATTTGAAATTTATAAGCTTCTACTAAGAAGATATATTATAGTTAAATATTTTATAGATATAAAACTTTTTAGAGAAAATGCATATTAATGTTTTTTTATCGGGTGAAACGTTTTGAACCTATTTGAAAATAATAAATTACAAAATTAGTAAATAACTATAGATATATATTATAAATAAATAAATAATAAATTTTTATTCGGTTTTTTTGGACTATTCGGTTCTTATTTTATAAACCAAAACCAATCCGAAATCCAAAATAATAATTCGGTTTTGTTGAAAACCAATCCAAAAATCCGAATATCCGAACCAAATTGTCCAATCCAAATTGTCCAATTGGATAATTCAGTTTTATCCAAATAATGAACAGCCCTACACATAAAAGTAATTTTTATGTTTTTCTTGAATAAGATGGATGAAAACAATGTGATAAAGGATGTTGAAGCACAGATGTGCTAATAACATTTCGTAAATGTTATAGATTAGAATGAATTCCCAAATACATAGTAAATGATGAGCTAATTTCTTAAACAAAATTAGAAAACTATTAACACGACTTTCACTTGGGCATTGTATCAAACAGTTGGTTTGTAAAGTGGAAGTAGAAAGAAACAGTAAATTACCAGCACTGCATCTCCAAGCACAAGACCATTATGCGCACGATTTCACAATTGAACTGATGAGGAGTCATACAGGTTGTCTAAACTCATTAAAACCCTACCTGCAACAAAGATGTAAGATGGGAAATGGGTTTGGGAAGAACAATGTGATAAAGGTCGCAATTCAACTAAAACCCTAGTATACCTGATTCAGTGGGTGGAGGTTTCACCATTAAGGTCGTTGGAAGCAGGAGAAAAAGAGAAGAAGAAAATGATTGATATTGAAGATCAGGGGAAAACGTAACTTGCTGAATTCATTTGAGAGAGTTTGAATTTTGATTTAAATCAATACATTGGCACTCGCTGTACATCTTATCGAACCTAAAAACCTACAAATTAACTTGAAGCCCTTCCAAAAACGGAATGGGCCGATTACTGATTTTCGAATGGCTTGGATGGAATCTCTATAGTATAAATATAGAGATTGTTAAGTACATTAGGAAAATGATTAATATTGAAGGTTTCACCATTAAGGTCGTTGGAAGCAAGAGAAAAAAAGAGGAAGAAAATTATTGATATTTAAGATTAGGGGAAAACGTAATATACCTGAATTCATTTGGAAGAGTTAGAATTTAGATTTTGATTTTATAGAGAAGAAGAAACATCGGAGAAGGATCAGAGGTAAAACGAAGGGAGAATTAAAAAGAATGTGAAGATGAAGCGAAGGATGGAGTTTATCGCAATCGTAATCGTAACCTAAGGATAAAGGATAAGGACAAGGGCAGTGTTGGTATTTCACTTTAAACATTGGAGCGGGAAAAATAGATTGGAAGGGGCTTAGAGTATGCCACGTGGCAAAAAAAGCTCTTATTTATTAGGATAGGATTAATGAAATAATTAGGTTTGAATAAACAAGTAAATAAATTATACATAAAAAATTACTTCACTTTACATAATTTTAAATTATTATAATTTAATTTTCAAACACAATAATTATTCTGAAAGCGAAATTCCAAACACTTGTTAAATATTATTGGGAAAATACCGCAAATAGACAAAAAAATGGGGGTGAATTTCTAAGTTTAGTCATAAAACAAGATTTTTCCAGCTATAGACATACATTCGGTGGAGGACCCTTCGCGGACCTCTGCGGAATGACGTCATCTCCGCGGACCACCCGAAACTATGATTTTTTAACGTTTAAAATAGTGTTCCGCGTAGGCCCTCTGCGGATACAATAACACCTCCGCGGAGTGAGTTGTTTGGAGGTTATAAATACCTCCGCGGAGAGAGTAATGTCTCTGCGGAATGGGTGGTTGGAACGGATTTTAGACGGTTTTTTGATACAAAGTGTTCTTTTTCATTTTTTTAGCTCCATTTGGTCGATAGATCAGTTCTTTTCATTTGATTTTCAAAAAAAATATGAGTTTTGTTATTTTATGTACGGGGGGTTTTTAGCAGATAAGTAATGGGATTAACACCTACGTTAGACCAAAGTTTAACAACTTAGATTTACTGCTTCCGCCAAATTTTGATCGTCGAATATTGTTTGATTTGGTCAAAAGTAAGGCTAATGTGTTCAATAGTAATATATCATTGTCATTTCAACACCCGGTTCATGGGTATGTTATGAATATTTTAGACGAAGCAGATGTTCATCAACTCAGAAATGTAATTTCTGAAACGAAGGAGATTGTGCATTTGTATTTAGAGGTGTTTCAGGGATTGGTCAAAAAGACAGAAGCGGTTCAGAAAGTTGTACCATACAATGTTGAAAACGCTGTATCTGATAATGTTGAAGAGTGTCCAGAAGAAGAAACTGTGGCAGTGAATACGGTTGAAGAAAAAAATTTATATGAGTTTGGAACACTGACTGACAAAACTTTGTCAGACGGTGAAGAGTCAAATGAAGGATGGTCAGAAGATGAGTTCACACAGGGGAAAAAAAGCTTCAGACATATTTTACGGTATGCCTCCCATACATGATTGTCCTGATCCTATTGTTGAACCCGGACCATTTCACAGTTTAGGTCCAAATGATGATATGTTTGTTCGTCAAACATATGATAACAAACAACAACTAATATTTGCTTTGAGTCTTAAAGCAACCAGAGAAAAGTTTCAGTTTAAGACCAAACATTCTAACAAAAATCGTTATGAGGTATATTGTGAAATTGAGAACTGTTGTTGGCGTTTATATGCAAAACGCCTTGATCCCACTGATGAATTTGAAATCAGGACTTTCAACAACGTGCACACATGTTCGTCATTACAGATACACCCTAATCATAAGCATGCTAATAAAAAAGTGATGGGTACTATATTGCATGAGATTATGGGAAAAACTCGTTCCAAGATTTGGAGGCCTAATGAAATATCAAGGGATTTGAATGCTTTCCTGGAAATCAATGTAGATTACAAACAAGCTTGGCGTGCAAAACAATATGTTATGGAACTGTTGTTGGGATCCTCTGAAGAATGTTTTTCCAAACTTCCTATTTATTTTCACAATTTGAAGAGGCATAATCCCGGTATATTGGCCTATATTCAAACAGATTTTGAAGATTGTTTCGAGTGTTGTTTTTATGCCATTGGGAGCACGGTAAATACAAAAAACTTGTTGTTATTTAATATATAATTTTTTTAAACAAACTATAGAGTGTTTATGTGTTCCATTTTAATATATTGCAGATACGAGCGTTCAAACGTTTTTGTCGTAAAGTTATAATTATGGATGGTGCCCATTTGAAGGGTGATTTTAAGGGAACCATATTGCATGCAGTAGCTATGGATGGGAACAACCAGATACTGCCCCTTGCGCACATAATATGCAAAAAAGAGAGTGGTCTTACTTGGACATGGTTTCTTGAAAAGTTGTATGAATGTGTTGGTGATTGTCAAGAATTGACTTTTGTAACTGATAGGGCCGATGCGATTCGGGTTAGTATTGAAAATGTTTTCCCACATGCTCATCATGGCTTGTGTGCTTTTCATCTACTAGGAAACATAGTACACAGGTTTGGGAAAAATGATAAAACAAAAGTGTTGTTTTGGAGGCTTGTGAAAGCTTACAAAAGAAATGTTTTTGAAGAAATGTGGTATAGATTTAGTTCTACTAGGCCGCAAGTAGCAGCGTATCTAAGTGAAATTCCCCGTGCTAAGTGGACTAGAGCATATTCGCTGTCGAAACGGTACGATTACATGACCTCGAACAGTGCAGAGTCCATGAATGCTTTATCTGTAGATGCAAGGAAGATGCCTATAATACCCCTTCTTGAGTTCTTCCGTCGTCTTTCACAGGAATGGTGTAACAAGCGTCGCATCGAAGGAGGTATGAATTTAATTTGGACTTTAATTAGGTCGAATAATAAGTTAATTATATATATCTTCTTTACAGGGAAACGTTCAACAGTGCTAACCGAGTGGGCTGAAAAAGTAGTTAGTAAAAATGAAGAGCGTACGACAGGATGGTCCGTTTCTGGTGTTTCAGATGCAATATATCAAGTTCATGATTTCAAACATGGTGGCATAGTTGATCTGAGGCAAGAGACTTGTACATGCAAATATTGGGAAGGAACTGGGTTGCCTTGTGGTCATGTCATAATGGTCTTGAAGCACTTGAAAAAAACTAACTTCGGACATCTGGCTATAGATGCTTACAAAATGGAAACGTACTGAAGTACGTATGAGGAGCCGGTTTACCCCCTTCCAAAACCGTGTGATTAGGAGATTCCTGCTGAGATGATGGTTGTTAAACCCCCGATAATGGATACACGTCAAGCTAGTAGACCGAGAAACATAAATCGTATCCCGTCACAAGGTGAGGAACCTATAGTAAGAAGGTGTAGTAGATGTGATAGTACAACACATAATGCAGCGACTTGTCCGGCATTGGTCCCAAAGAAACAAAAAAAAGGCTACAAAAAGTAGTGCGGCATCAGGTAGTAACACAAAAGGGAAAGGGAAAGGGACAAGAGGGGCTCAGGAGACGCTAGAGACGCACGGGACATAAGAGACGCGTTGGACGAGTGGGACGCAGAGAGAAGACTATTGTTCAACGTTTGATTTGAATGATTGATGTTGTATTTATAATTAATTATGTTTTGTTTTAGAGGACATTAATTTGTGTACTTTGAAATGGTGTGTTTATTTTAAAGATGATGGGTAATATTATGATTATATTAGTGCATAATTACTAGTAGAATAATAACTAATACTCGAAGATAATACATTCAACAAACCAGAAACATATAGTAAACGTACAACAACAGTAATTAACTTAAGGGAATTGCAAATGATACTTTTCTTTCTCCATTGTTATGTAGTCGTCCCTAATTCTTATTTTATCTTCCATACGGTCCTTTTGGCTACCAAGTTCTATCATTTCTGCATCCTTGTCAGCAAGCCATTTTTCAGACAGTTTGATATTCTTCTTAGTTTTTTTTATCCATTCCTCATGATCTTTGATTTTTTTTAGTAATTGTCATCCTTTCCTCAACCTCTTTGCACTCCGCCGCAATGAGGTCACGACGTTCAGTGAGAGCTCGAGATGAGTCTTTATCTTTTTTTTTGTTGTTCTTCATCCCATTGTAGTTGTTGCAAAGTATCCTACGACATATACGTCTCTCTTAAATTTGGTGATGGGGCAAGAAAAGGGTCGATCGGATCACAATAGAAACAATCAACTTCGTTGCACGAGCAAATATACAAAGTTGAAGATGAACTCATTTTAAATTTAAAAAAAATTTATAACTCTATACCAAAAATCCAACGACCATCCATGACTATATATAGTCCCTTCCACTCCGCAGAGAGCTGTTCTCAGTCCGCAGAGCTTTTTGTCAGTCCGCAATAATGTTTGTCAATCCGCAGAGCTGTTTGTCTAGTCGTTGTCATCCATACATTACAAATATGGGAATACAATTATTTATTTAAAGGTAAACATTTTTTATTAAAAAGTAAAGAACGCCAACAGACCATTACAACTACGGTTAACATAGAACTGAATACAAACTAATATTCGTTGTGATCCATACAATATAGTTCAATTGAATTGTCGTGGAGGTAAGACCACAACACTTTCAACTGGTATTTCCCAATGCCTAAGGGTTGGAATAGGATTGACCGTCTCAGTTTGATAAGCATTTCGATACACCGCTGTACTTAACTTTAAATTTACCATTTGCTGGATTTCTGCAATTTCGAGTCTTTGTAGTTAAGCTATAGCATGCTCACAAGGTATACCACATTTTTGCCATTTACCGCAACTACATATACTACGGTTTAATTGGACAAATTCGGTTGTTGAATACTTAGTCACTTCTATCTGTCGCCAACAATATGCGTAATCCTACAACCATCCGAGTGGATAAATCTTTTATGAATCACCTTAAGTGCATAAGGGGTTAGAAGACCATGAAAATCCCCTGTGAAATGAACTGAATCAAAAAACAAAAATTATGATGTCATAACGTATAATAACATATCAATTCACCATTTGAGTGATGTCATAACTTATAATTACCTCCACACGCAGCACGTTGAAGATACACTGCTTGCATCGAGTCATGGACCATTTCAATGATTGTTGTTATTGGAAACTCATGCGTGTTTGTTTTAAACCAATTGACAACAACGGGAATGTCAATGAATTTAACATTGAAACGTACTCTTGGAAAACAAGCCCGTACCCATTTTGCAATGGGAATATTGTCAAGCCAATGAAGATCATTCCCATTAACCTCATTTTTTAAGTTGTTCAAACATGCATAAAAATGAGATAAATTATACGCTTTACAAGTCTTCCAGAACAACTGCTCTATGACTGTATTGCTTCCGATGGAAGCGCGTATTTTCTCGGCTATATTTTTACAACAATAGCCATGATATGAATTTAGGGTAGACTCTTTGAACTGCAAAGTCTATAGCATCAGACATATGGCTTATGAAACCAACTTCTGTATTGTCACCTAAACATTCTTTAAGCCTCCTCAAGAACCATAACCATGAATTGTCACAGTTTATGGTTCCCAAAGCAAACGCTATGAGAAAGGGTTCATGATTTCCATCTAAAGCAACCGCAATGCACATGGATCTTACATACGCCCCAATTAGAGGTACTTGACCAACGAATATGATTGGTATCATAGACGTGAGAAACGTACGAATCTGTAAGTTTAACATAAGAATATTAGGCATATAACAACTTGAAATAACTAAATATTTATTTACTATAAGGGATTACACACCACGCATCCCAATGCCACGAAACAAATTTGGAAACGATTGTACTGATCTTTCGTAATGTACATGAAGGTGTTAGGATTGGTTCTTTGCAGATTATGGAAAAAATTCGGTAGGCTGGAGAAACTTTTTCTTAATAACTGATTGACTGAACTCATTTTCACAACTTTCGACACCTTGTAAAAATGGAAATGCTTGTCCAATTTATAAGGAATTAGTATACATTATTCCGCAGAACTTACTTGTTAGTCCTTGTAAATGACTTGTCAGTACGCGTAACTTATTTGTCAGTCCGCGTAACCTGTTTGAATGTATGGTTTTTAAACATGGGAATTATTTTTCATAATATAAAGGATAAATACCATATTACATATAAATAAAGCAATACAAGAACAATACAAAACGCAGTACTAGTTAAAAAAACGGGACATTTTTCAAAAGATTCCAAGGGGCTTCATACTCGAAACTCTGTCCGTTACTAATGGATTTGTATTCTTCTTTAGCCGCCTCCAAGATGTCTTCCTCAGTATCATTCACACGATCGTCTTCAATCTTATTATAAAGATCGTTGAATAACACAACTTCTGTTTTCAATTCATACCATTTTGCAGCTACATCAAGCGTGTTGCGATGGTTTTCTATGGTGGTTTCAGCGTTAGTGTTGAACGTATTCGATAATAGGACCCAAAACATTCTATCCTCCAAACTGGTGTTCTCGTAGACATTAATATATGCACGAGTTAGAAGCAAATACTCGTCAGCGGTCCATGGGTTTGAACCCATTGTAAAACATACAAACTACATGAACTAAAATAGATTAGATGAAGTGATACATAATTTTTTGTCGTTTTATATAGCCATGACAGTCCGCAAATATCCAACGATCATCCATGACAATATATAGACCCTTCAACTCCGCAGAGAGCTGTTCGTCAGTCCGCGTTACTGACTTTTCAGTCCGCGTTACTGACTTGTCAGTCCGCATAGCTATTCGTCAGTCCGCGTTACTGACTTGTCAGTCCGCATAGCTATTCGTCAGTCCGCGTTACTGACTTGTCAGTCCGCATAGCTATTCGTCAGTCCGCGTTACTGACTTGTCACTCCGCGTTACCTATCTTTTTATATATAGTAAAGCAAGTATCTATACGTCCGAATTAGAGGTGAGGGATCATTTCACAAAATGGCATCCAATGTACCAACGTCTTCAAATGCAGCTAATCTGTCTAATGTGTCTGCTCCAACAAATGGTACATCTCCATGGACGACAACAGAGGTGTTGGTCCTAACACGATGCTGGATTACCGTTTACGAGGGTCTGTCGGTAATAGCTCCCCTTAATTGCCTTCTTGGTGATGAATGGTCCCGCTTAGTAGCTTTGTTCAACTATAACGTGGGACAAGGACAAAAACGACTAAAACCCGATATTGTTAGTAAATGGATGGATTTAAAGACTAAAGTCACATGGTACAATCGATGCTACAATTATGAGAAAATGCGATGCTCTAATGCTGATGATGAAGAACTTCTTGAATACGTGAACGGATATTACATGTGCCAGTTTGATGAAACTGAGTTCGAGTATACGGACGTTTGGAATCTGGTTAGAAATAAACCCTTTTTCATGTAGACGACTCTTTTATTCGTAATGTTATATGTAATGTTTGTTAGTCGTTCATCTTTTATTTGCAATGTTTTTTGTAATGTTATTATGTTATTTCAAATATTTGTTTTTTTTAATGTATCATAATATATGTTGGTGAATTATGTTTCAAAAAATATATGATACAAAAGTTGTTTATATTAAACAAAACTACTAAAAACAAGTATTTCATAATAATGTATACAAACTTCCAAACATCAAGTTATTTAGTATCCCAAATAATATTTGTCATCCTATTTCTGTAGAGAAATCCCGCATCTCTACATGGCTTATCACTCTTCACCGGTACCCCCGAAGCAATCATTTCTATATACATGCTTATGAATACTCCACAATCCCCTCTATTAGTAATATATTCTTGTTGTGGCGCGTCTACAATATCAATAAACTCTACAACTGCGTTGTCTTTGTGTCCATCGGGGAAATCCTTCCAGTAGTCAAACGCATCTAGCTCTTCGATTATACTATCCCCAAAACTTTTGAATTCTCCACCAGTCAAGTACGTTGTGAAGTAATTCATACATCGTGCTGCATCATAAATGTGTACTTTCCAAATATCTAAATGTAGCACTGCCAAATACCAATGGGCATGAGGAACGTTTATGGGGAATAGAACCTGCAAACAAAAACAAATTTAATAGTCATTAATTCGTTTCCTATATAAAAGTAAATAATTAATAAACTTAACTAACCATATCCACATCCTTCCATTTAGGATGGCCTCTGACACCATTTGCAATATTCCTAAGAAAATATGTTTTTCCGTTTTGCAAATTAAGTTCTTGAGGGAATATCGTCCACCTTGCGTTCGTCGGCCGTCTTTCCATGAGCAAGGCACTCCATATCGCAATATGTTGTACATTTTAAGATAAAAATGTTACAGTTTTTTATATAAATTATCGTCTAAAAATGTAGTTAAAAATTATATTTAACGAATGTTACCGAAAAAATTAACCACCCAGTGTCAGTAACTGCAAGTAACCTCAACCAAAACTCCACATCCAATGTGAGCATATGCAACCTATGTTTAGTGTTTAGGTTGGAAGAGATCCTATTCCATTCTTTCCAAAAAGTCAACGTACTGGCAGCTTTAACACTGTCGAGCAGGAGATGATTTGAAACATCATTACTCTTTTCATTCACAATGTCTTCATTTGCTTTTTCAGGACTCTTCACCACTTTTTTTTTCTTTGCTTTGGTGATTTTCTTCAATTTTGGTGTGGATTGCATCTAAAAAATTAACATGTTAATAAATTATCAATACGTTAATATTTTAAAAATATACCAAATTTAAAATATGAGTTTTGTACCACTGTGAACGGAGTCCGCTGATACCATGGAACACCCCTCTTTCGTTGCGGCCTAACAATAGGAGTCATTTCTTTTGTGTGATGTTCACCCACGTCCGATGACGGCTCAACATGCGTAGGTGTAGACTCAAATTCCCCCTCCAAACCATGACTACCTATATTATCATAGTCAAAATGTGTATCATGGTAATATTTTTCTTCCTCCTCTTCATTTATCATCTCTTCCTCCTCTCGAAACCCTTTGTCTGGTTCAAAATTTGTGTCGGGTTCATCTTTTTTCTGTAATACACGGTCTACTTTAGAACTTAAGTCAGTCACAACGCCTAGTAGGCGCTTCACTAATGCCTTTGTGCTCGTCTTCTTCTTCTTTACCAATCTTGATGTGTCATGTGACATATAACTTGTTTTTGTTTCAAGATGTTGCGAGGAAGAAGCATTTGTGGCAGATTCAATCGAAGATGTTTGTATTTCGGACTTGTACATCCTTCTTCGAGCAGGCGAGGCAACATGGGGTGGACTATTTCGGACGGGACTATATTGCCGTGGGGGAGACTCTACAGGGTTAAGAGTCCAATTGACATAACGAACATAAAACGGCAACATCAGCTCCTCCGGGTTTGCCACGACATTAATAAGTTGGTTGTTAGGCTGCAAAAATCAGATTGTTAGTTTAACATGAAAATACATTGGAATTTGTAAATATAGATGATTGTTAATATAAAAACCATACCACATACACGTTCATTATTCGACAACATTGAACCCAATTCAACGGTGTTTTACTTCTCCACGCCTCATCCGTGGCAATTCTGTCGACGTGCGTATATAAAACTTGGTTGCCTCTGGGAACGTCTCCAAAATCCATATCTATGAAAAAAAATGTAAGTATCGTTCTATTATACTATAAAAGTCATGATACAAACTTATTATATAATACAAAACGAAGTTCAAATTTTTATAGTATAAAAAACTAAACAATGATAACTATTAAAATGCATTAGAAACTAACCTTAAACGGAAGCATAAAACCGGGAACGGTATACTTGTGTACTCTCTTCGATTCGGGATTGGCCTGCTTGAATTCTCTAAACTCTTATATTTTTTTAAACATTCCATGCATCATTCACGAAGTATATTTCCAGAAATACGTACCCCATGCAAACCTGCAATTTTCAATTTATTTATTATAATTAGTGCATTGCATACTACCGCGGGAATGCCTGTTTTAAATGTAATACCTGTTCCAATCATCTATTTTATCAGCAAGCTTGTATACTGCTGCAGGAATGCCCGTTTTAACGTACCGTCCATGTAGACCCTTCAACATAAAAACAAGCTGGATAAGCATCACAACATCTTCATCTTGTAGTGCCAAATAATTCAGGGACATAATTAAGTCTTCTAAATCTTTCAGCCGCAAACGTGCATCAGAAATATCTGGGAACAACCGAGCACGGAGATTTGAATTTGACTGACCCTTTTCGTCATGGAGTAAATCCACATAAGGACCAACTTTTAAACCACAAATCAGAATATATTCAGTTTCACCAAAACCCAACTGGATCCCCTCTATATCAAACAGAAACCTCCCCATTTCAAATATTTGTTGACATATCTTACTTCGTGCAACATCATCATATGCACAAGTAAGGGATCACCATGTGGGATATGCATTCCTAAGAATATTCCAAAGGGGGAATCCTCGAATAATACTCGTTGTGATTGTGTTAGGCGCGGAAAATAGTCTTTAATGATAGTCCCGACCGCGCCTTTCAAAGTTAAATCCGCTTTTTGATTGAGATCTTCGTGCTACACAGCAAAAAAAATAAAAAATATTATTTCATTTAAAACATTACTAATTGAAAAAAAAAATATTATTCTATTATGAAATAAATAGCAACATACTTAAAAGCAGAAAAATAAAAATTGTGCAAAAACCATCACTCCGCGGAGGCTAGAGGTCATTCCGCGGAGGCCTCTCTGTGGAGTGACATCTAGCCTACGCGGAGGCCTGCAAAGTTGGATTATAACATTCCGCGGAGGAAACACATCACTCCGCGGAGCACCCTCTGCGGGCTGACGTCCCCCTCCGCGGAATGGATCATCCTCAAAAACGGTTATGTGATTTGTAAACCTAAAAATCCTAAATCTGTATACATATTAAATGTAATCAAATAGGTTTTCCTCTAATTTGAATCATATTCGACATTTTCGACATTAATAATTAGATGAGAATGTGAGAAATACCCGGGAACCGTATCCATCGGCCATAACATCGGGGAATTCGGGGTCCATCGGTGACGGAAAGAGCTCTGCGACTCGATTTCGCCGGATTTGAAGTCGTCGCCGGAGTTGAAGTCGTGCCGGAGTTGAAGTTGTCGTCGGATTTAAAGTCTTCGATCAAAGCCCGGAGGACCCGATGCGGAGTGACGAAGAGGAACGGGGACTAGTGGGGACCAAAAGAAGACCCCTTCGTTTTTCTCAAAAAAATATGGTGGAAATTACGAAAATACCCCCTCTTCGCGGAGGGTTTTCAGCGGAATGCATGTCTATATCGGGAAAAACCTTTTTTTATGACTAAATTTATAAATTGACCCTCATTTTTTGTCTATTTGCAGTATTTTCCCAATATTATTTTACAAAAAAAATATATTTAAATAAGGGAAAGAGTGCACATTAAAATAGTGCTATTTCTTTTTAAATTGCAGTGCCCACAGCACCATCTCCTCCAATCATCATCCACCACCTTCTCCTTTTCTTTCTCTCTCTCGTTTGGTATTCCTGCTTTTCCCTTCTCAAATTCATCATCTTTTTTCTGTTTTCCCTAAAGAAAAGGGTAGAAATCGTCCTCAAGTAACCCCTTTTTCTCCTTCACATAACCCAAAGATCCAAGAATTCAACACATACTCTTTCCTATTTTGGAGAGAGAAGGGTTTTTTTTGTGTATTTTCTTTACCATTTCAAGCTTTTTAGGAAACCCCCTTTGCATACACAACACTCTGTCTTCTCATTTTTTAACTACCAACTGCCTTTTTCCCCTTTCCTAAACGATATGTCAAGAACTTCCCTGTTTTCCAATTTTAGAAATCATCCCCCAATTTCTGTTATCAGTTCAGACTTCAGATCATGTTCAATGTTTCTAGGGTTTTCTTGATGTTTATCAATCTAATTTCGGGAATATATTGTGGTTAAGTTTCAAAAAGGTGTGTCTTTTAAAGATTCCTCAGGTGGTTGGGTGGTTGCCCATAGCAAACAGAAAAAAAAAAAAAAAAAAACTATTCTGATTCCTTTAAAATGCGTCTTGATTTTTAACCTTCCTACATTTGCTCCCCTGTTTTTTCTCTGCTCCTAATTTTCTAATATAAACTTCTAAAAATCCGATCTTGATTGTTTGGGGTGCTTTAATTAAGTTTCAATGAAGTGGGTAACAGACATCCTTTCGAATTCGTCAAGTTGGATGATGGAAGATAGCTTAAAGAGCAGAATATGGACTCCTCTTGAGAACAAATTGTTCGAGAATGCGCTTGCAAAGTTTGATAAAGACACCCCTGATCGGTGGCAGAGAGTGACGGAGATGGTCCCGGGGAAGACGGTGGCTGATGTGATGCGACAGTATAAGGAATTGGAAGATGATGTGAGCAGTATTGAAGCAGGGCTATATCCGAAGTATGGGTATAATAATAACACTTGTCCTTTTACTTTAGAATGGGGGAATAATCATGGTTTGAATACGTCCAGGTCTCCGCCGTATGGCGGCGGAGGAAAGAGGTCTCCGGTGGATGTGGTCGCTGCCGGTCGCCCTGTTGAACAAGAAAGGAAAAAGGGAGTTCCGTGGACAGAAGAAGAGCACAAGTAAGTCTCATCAACCCATTTCAGATTTCTTTTGCTTTCTTTGCTTTTTGCAATTTCTTGATTAATTTGATTGTAATCTGAAATGGGTATTTGGGAATTTGTTCACACAGATTGTTTCTATTGGGGCTAAAGAAGTATGGAAAAGGAGATTGGAGAAATATATCAAGAAACTACGTTGTGACAAGAACACCAACCCAAGTTGCAAGCCATGCTCAGAAGTATTTCATCCGGCAACTTTCGGGTGGGAAAGATAAGAGAAGAGCAAGCATTCATGATATAACAACAGTGAACGTTAATGAAAATCAAAACTCATTGCCAAAAAATAAAAGAACATCACCGGAGCAATGTAAGTTTCAGTGGAACCACCCCGGTGGTGGTGGTGGTGATGCAGCCATGGCATTCAACCAAACAAATGGGAGCATGTTTATGTCTCCGAGATACAGAGATAATGGTGGTTTACATGAATTTTATGGTGGATCTCAGAGCATGGTTTTTCAGATGCAACCTGCGATGCATTACCCTCATGGATGAGCCAACATTTTCGTTTGATAACATATGTAGTGATTATTGAAAATGATTGTTTCTCTTTTTTGTTTGATTTAAGTAGTTTGTTACTTTGTTTATATGTTTTATTTTTTGAGTTTTTTTGATCACTCTCTTGTTGTGTTATCTATAATGTGAATATCGTAGTTTTTTAGCATCTTA